TCTTTTCAAAGCCAAATCAGTCTGTGATTCTGTGAAGGAAGGTGTGGGATGTAGGAGGAGGAGAGCATCTGTGCTGGACAGGGAAGGGGACATTAATGGCCCACCCTGGCTGTGGTTCTTCAGGGTGAAGATGTCTCAGCTGGGCTCCAGGTGCCATTTGGAAATTTTGGAATAAATGTTCCAACACTGAAACCTCCAGTCCCTTTGCTCCCCCTGATCTATCCCCCTCCCCTGGAAGAGGCTCTTCCCAGCCTGTGCAGGGGCTGCCCTGCACCTCCCAGCTGTGAGCAGCAGCACCCAGGGCTGCTCCTGGTCTCCCTGGTGGTTTGGGGTGGGTGCAGGGTGGCTGTGCCTCCTGCCAGCCCCGTGGTGCTGGGTTCCTCATGAGCAAAGCCTGGTGCCTCCAGCCAGCTGCTTCTCCACCAGCTCCCAAGAAATTGCAAGCAATGGGCCACGTTTAGCTGAGGGAAGTTTTGGAGGCAGAAAACGTGGGCACAAAGGGAGCCTCTGCCTTAATGGTCTCCTTGGGAGATGCTGCTCTGGGCTTTGAGGGTTGCTCTCTGGGCTGAGACACAAGCCTGAAGGGGCTTAGGGCTGGTAGCTGCTGATCCATGTTATGTAGATTAAATAGCATCACAGCTCCAAAAATAATCTTGCCAGCTTAGGGTGAGGCTGCCTGTTCCTATAGCAACTGCTCCCTGCCCTACAAATACAAACCACAACAGACTGATTGTCTTCAAGTTGTTTGCAAGACAGAGCAAAGTATGAGATGGGGAATGAAGGGACATGGGTCACAGGGCCTTGTGTTTTTAGGGTGTACAATGGCTGCAAAATACAGACGTGTGTGTTCCTGGAGAGGAGATTCATTAAAAGCTGCTGTTCAGGGTGGGCTGTGTCCCTCCTGTCTGTGCCTTTGGGTGCTGATGTTCCCCATGTAGATCGTGGGTGACAAGAAATGCAGATGGTGAAGCAGCAGCTGCAAGATTCCAAGAGGTTGTGGGGTCTTGAATCTCTGCCTTTCAGAAATCCCAGCTTGGGTGGTCCCATGTGGTGGGAGTCTGTGGGCCCATTGGTTCTGCACGTCACCTGCAGTCTTTGCTCTCAAATGAGGAGTCCTGGACAGAATCTCTCTCTCTCTGGGTCTTTCCTGACCCTCAGGGTGTTTTGTGAAACTTAACAAAGCAAAACCTGTTTTTTTTTCCTGGCTGAGTTGATACAAAGGCTTGAACATCATCTGGACGTGCCCCGTGTGAAGAGCTCCAGGCAGAGGCTTGTGGCCCTTTCACCTTTCTGGGTGATTGGATCCTTTATCCTCAGCTCTAGGGATGCATGTTGCTGCTCTGCTCTCCTCCAGAGCTTTAGAAATCACCTTCAGCAGTAACCACAGGACTCGGTGGGTCTCGTGCTGCTACTTCCCTGAGACCATCCTCCCCAAGATGGGGAAGTGGGAGGTGTCCAGAGCCCGAACAGACCTGGTGGTGCCACAGGGACAAGCATGAATGTCCTCACTGCAGTGGTTGTCCTGGAAAGCTGGGTGAGCCTGGTGTGGAAGCAAGGCTCTTCCACTTGGATCTAGGGCTGTTCTTATGAACTATCAGACTGAAGCTGGTGCAGACCTGAAAGGCTGGTGGTAGCTTGAGGAAGGAGATGGATTTGTCTCTCAGATCTTTTTAGCTTTGGTCAGCTTTCCCTTGGCCTCCCAGGAGGAGGGGGAAAGGCCATGCTGGTCCTCAGACCTCCCTTCCCTGGGCTGGAGCTGCTGGCAGCCTGGCTCTGGAGGATGGCCAAGTCTCTGGTGAGTGTTGTGTGTGCAGCAAGTGCAGAAGGATGGAGCAGAGGAAACATGAAGTTAATTTAAGAAATAATGATAAAAGCACACATAGCTCCTCTGTTCATATTAGCAGACCCTGCAGGGCTGTGGTTTTGCATTTTCTGGTCCTTTCAAGATGCTGTTCCTGGTGCTGCACATGTAGGTGAAGCTGAGATCTCATTCAACCTCCAGGCTTTCCTGGAGCCAGGATTTCACACTAACAAAACCCAACGGATCTTTACAGTCAAGAAACCTCCAGGGAGTGAAGTGAGGGATGAGGAGTTTCCAGAGACCTGCTCCATCCTGCTTGGCTGGTGCTGAGGGTGGTGAAGAGGGGGGTCCTTCAGCCATGGGAGGGGTTCTGGTATTTACTGGGGGCTGGAAACCTGGTGCCAGGGCTGCACCTGGGGGTGGCAGGGGGGTCATCTGGGCTGCCTTGCACCATCCTTCTCTGCTTTCCTTTGCTCTGATTTGCTGGTGGCTGTGACAGGGTGTTTCCTTCTCCCTGCACTTTGATTGGAGATAATTACAGCAAATTCTGTGGCTGGAGATGTTTTTGTTCTCCTGTGGGTGGCAGGAGCAGGGCTGGGTCCTGGGCTCAGAGCAGGGTGGTGGGGCTGGTGACCGGGCTGGAGGGGGGTAACGAGGTGTCCATCCTCTGTCTTGGGTGGGCTTTTGCTCCCCTGTGGGGGCACTGCCACCCTCCAGCCCTAAGGTCCTGTTTGAAGCCTGCAGCCTCAGCAGAAGGGTCAATACTCCCTCCCTCCATGTCCACAGGGAGGAGGAGGAGGAGGAGGGTGGGATCCTGCTGCTGACCCCCCCAGCATCCCAGCACGGCCGGAGAAGCAGCTCTGGGGCAGGCAGGGAGCTGGGGAGGGATGTTCAGCTCAGCTCCCTCAGCCTGACCAAGCAGCATCAGGACTGACGTGTTCTCACCCAGGTGCTTTCCCCCTTTTGGACCCAGGGATTTGAGGCATTTATGTAATTCTCACAGTGATAAAAAAAACTGGGCCACGCCGGGTCTGTGCCTGCTGCCTCCAGCTGAGCACACGGGCACGGAGCATCACTGCAGCCTCCAAAAATGGGCAGCCATGGGCAGGGAACAACCTCCTGGGGAAGGACAGAGCTCATCCGGTGCCACATGGTGCCATCCCCGTGTCAGAGCATTTGAAGAATGGGCAAAATCCCCAGGTTGGGATCTGGGAGGAGGAAGAGGGATTTTGGGGTTAAATGCTGCCTGGGGACAGGCTGAGAGAGCTGCTTCCTCCTGCTTGGCTCCTTTATTGCAGACTTATCCTTGGGAGATATTACCAGTGCCTACAAAGAGAAAAACCCCACATTTAGTTCATCCTCTTAAGTCCCACAGAGGTAATGGTGGGTTTTTTCCCAGGATTAGTGGTGGTAGTTGCCAGGCTGGAGTTAGTGGGGCTGACTCCTGCTTCTGGTAAGTTTATCAACCACTGTGATACATTAAATTGGCCACTAAAGGCAAGACTCACAGAATCACAGAGAATCACAGAATCATCCTGGTTGGGAAAGACTTTGAAGATCCTCAAGTCCAACCATAACCTAAATCCACCACCCATAAGCTGATCTACCTGTTCAGTGCTTAAATCATGTCCCCCAGCACCACATCTGTATTTCTTTTGAACACTTCCAGGGAGGGTGACTCCACCAGCCAGTTAGTGATGGCCAGAAGCTCTGGAGAGGTGGGTCTATCCAGGTGCTGGAGCAGGGGCAGCTCTCCCAGCCCAGAAGAGGCTGCTCAGATGCCTGTGGAGACAGCCCAGGGCTCCCAAGCTGGAAATAGGTGGCCCTGGCTGGGCTGGGCTGTGTAAGTGCTGCCACCACCCCTGTGTGTCACCAGGGACGTGTGTGCCAGCGGGGTGTGCTGTCATGGGATGAGGACAGGGTCCCAGGATGGTCCTGCTGGAGCAGCACCTGGTCCTTGCAGCTCCAGAGCAGCAGTTTCCAGCCCCATCAGAGGTGATGGCTGCAGGTGGGGCCTTGCCAGGTGGTTGTGTTTGATGATGAAGGAGAGGTGCATGGGAGACCATGAGAAGAGGTGGATCCAAGCCTGTGCTCTAGCCTGGACAGCCTCAGGTGGCTCTGAGCAGCAGCACCAGCCCAGTGTTGCTCTCCTGGAGAGCAGGTTACCATGTGTCCTTTGGACACACCAGCTGAGGACACGTACAAGGACATGTAGGGATGTGGATGGGCTGGCAGTGCCCTGTGGTCCCTCTGTCTGCCCCAGGCAGCTGCAGGCAGGTTTTGCTGGTCCCTGCCTCTCTGTCATCCAGAACCAGATGATTGAGGTAGGGGAAAGGATGAGGCTGCTCCCTGCTCTGCTGCCTCCATGGTTGTTGGGTGCACCCAGGGGAACCTCAGTAAAACTTTGAACGTGAGGATGTGGCACAGGACCTGCCAGGACCTGCTCTGCTCTCGCTGCTTGTATTTGCTTCGGGCAGTGTCACCTCTCAGAGCTGCTCACCTCCTCTGCCTGCCCTGGGGGGGTGGTGGGGTGGTCTCTCTGCTCAGGTTTGGGTTGGTTTTCTGGTTTTAAGTCACCCAAGAGTTTGGGAGTTGCAGGAATAACTTTCTGCTGTGCTGGGGAGGTGCTGATGGTGGCGGTTTCTGCCCTCTGCAGGTGTGATGGTTTTGGGCAAAGGCTGACACTGTCCCCTGTGTATTTACCACCTTTCTCCTGGGTGAAAGGCCTGTCTTGCCCAAAGCAGGGTTCACTCCCAGTGCAGGGCACACTGGTTCTGTGCCCGGCTCCCATGGCTTCGGCACGTGGCCCAGTGGCACCAGCACCTTGTGCCACCCCTTTGCCCACCCTTGGCAGCCCAGAACCCAACCCTGGTGACACCCACAGGAGCCCTTTGACCACCTCCCCGGGGCTGTGGGTGACATCCCGCGGTGCTCCTCTGCCCCACCAGCTAAATCCACCACCCATAAGCTGATCTACCTGTTCAGTGCTGAAATCATGTCCCCCAGCACCACAGCTGTGTTTCTCTTCAACACTTCCAGGGAGGGTGACTCTGCCGGCTCCCGGGGGACGCGGTGGCTGGGACACCCTGCCGGGGCTCAGGGGGAGGCGGGAGGTCCCCTGCCCTCCATGGGTTAGTACAGTCCAGGGGTAACCATGGAAACTGTTATTTCTTTCCCCCCTCCATCCCTCCCTTTGCAGATGACTCGGGCGACGAGGAGCCCGCCTCGCAGTCGGAGCGGAGCGAGCTGCACGGCGCCCTGAAGAGCCTCTCCAGCAAGCTGGAGGACCTGAGCACCTGCAGCGACCTGCTGGCCAAGCACGGGGCCGCCCTGCAGCGCTCGCTCAGCGAGCTGGAGACCCTGCGCCTGCCCCCCGACAGCGGAGAGAAGGTCAAGGCGGTGAACGCGAGGGCCACGCT